TGAATAATCTTCAAAACAAATTTTATGGATTCCAAAAATGTAAAAAGTTACCAATTTACGTACTTTAAATTTGTGGTCAGTGCACATTTGGTGCTCCAGACAAAATTTTCACGTAGATCGAGACTAGTGGTGTACTTAACTTTGTTTAAACATGATCAAGTAGGAATGGATATCCTAACCAGTAGAGATGCAGTTCGCGTGCCATGTCTTACAGTAAGCCGGCCAGTAGTTCTAAGAACAATGAGAAGATTACTAGGAGATTGCTCCTGAAAGATGCTATAAAGCGTATTCGTTTATTCATCATTAGTGATAGAAACTTAAAAACCTTAAAAGCCATCGATCTCATCTTGGAAATAAAAGAATTGACCTCATTCTTTTATCACAGTGAGATTCGCAGAAAAATCACTTCGCTTCGTAAAATCGGTATGGCTATGAAGTCATAGTCATGCCGATCGAGACAAAGCAAACTGATTGATGCCGAGAGAGAGACCTTAGGAAGAATCAACCCAGTTGAAAAACTGAGCCGATTTCCACAAGTCATTAAAGATCACTTTTAGTCGCACTATACACTTCACTTTCCCCCACTGTTGCAAAATAATGCAACCATGCATAGAAAAGAAAAATCCTACCTTTATAAGGCTGCTCATCGAAAATCTGAAACAAGAAGAAAAATAAGTTAAAACAAAATAATAGAAATATTGATCTGAAATTAATCAAAAAAGGTAATGTTGGGGGTGGGGGTTCTTTATTGAAAGAGACACCCTAGAGGTGAGGCACTTTTGCGTTACATTTGCTATTACGTCTTAATGAAGATGTGAACATTTACCTTTAGCCTTTTATTAATCCACTTTTGCTTAGGAAGAAGCACCATCACCATGAGTTCACGATCACCACGGGCTACTGGTGTGCATTCTCCTCGAACGCCATTACCAATAACTGAAAAAAAATTACGTAAAGTTTTGTGTTTCTATAATGGTCAGTGACGTGCTCACCTCGTTTGCGTGAACCAAGTCCATTATAATCGTTGAACTGGGTCGAAAGCAGGCTTGAATTCGATCTGATCCATAGCAGAGGTCGTCGGCGGCGTTGGATTAAGGGGGAGACTATGGGGGTTACAACCCTGGATATTAAATTATTAGGCCCAGGACTGGAGAAGTCGTAAGGTACGTTCAGGTTCAAGATGGAAGGATTTTCGACAAAACTTCAAATCGGAAACTTGTAAATACAAGCTACGTGATACGGAAGGTGCCATGGAGGACGTCGAAGGTAAACTGAAGAAGCCAATTGAAGATAAATCCATCGGTGATGATACTTTGCGATTAGCCAAGCACAAGAAGTCTGAAAGTAGCGCTCTGCTCATTTTCACAACGAACAAGACAGAAGAGACATTAAAAAGGGTAATGAGATCTGCGACAGCGTGTGAAGTCTGGCAGGAATTGCATATAGATAGCTGTTCCTAATCTGCAAAATCCTAGATGCACTGGAGGACGAGTGCAAATCAAGAGTTCCTAGTCAGAAAAAAGAAGTTATGCCAAAAGCAAAGAAAAAGGGAGAGTGCTACTATGGCTCTAAGATCGGAATCAAGTTCAGAATATTACGTTAATGGTAAATGTTTTGCTCTATGAGTCTAAAAAGACCAAGGAAAATTGGTACGTCGACAATTGCTATCACAAGTAACGTGTTTCATGAATTTGATTCAAGTCACAAGGTTAAGACAGTAGATGGCACGACAGTTCCTACTAAAGGAAAAGGTACGGATATTGTGAAGAATCATAAATGAGAAGAATATAGGAATTTTTAAGAATTTAAATACAGCCGCGAATGCCCTAAATTGCACCTGTAAAACTGAGAACAATGGTCCAAGATCTAACACCTGCGAATAATTGAAAGTGAATGCTACACTCACATTCCAAATCAAAAGCGTAGAAAAGCTGTAATGGGGCAAGCTGGTTGGATATAAAAATGACGATGGTTATCGGAGACAGATGTTGAAATTAACATTTCAACGAGGATGCCAAATCAATGCGAATGAATGAAAAAAAAGGTAGGAGTGAATCCAATTGTAAATCAGCCCGAATGTACACTCAGAGGATAGTGTTCCTAATCAAGAGCTCTAGAGGGAGAAGGAGTGTTTCAGCCAGCTCCTGATGAACATCCTAGACTTATTGAAAATGAAGATCACGATCATGAAGTGGATTCACCTGTTGTCGAAGTGCCTGAGAAACGAGTCGACGTTCACGTGTTGAAGACCCGAGGCACAAGCTCAGAAGCAGAGAAGTGATTATACGTGCCTCAAGAAGAACAACGGGTATGTTTGCCTTATAAGCTCAGCCTTCCCAAATAGGTACGTTCCAGGAAGCAATGAAGAGAGAAAATCGCAAGAACTGGCAAAGTGCAACGATGAATCGTAAATTAAAGTCACTTAAAGGAAAAGGCGGGTGGACGTTGTACGGACTTCTACCTTTCAAGTGGGTTTACAGAATCCTGCAGATCTAAGGGGCAATTAAAAAGTATAAAGCACGACTCCTAGTAAAATAAGGTAACGAAGAGGAATTGATTACGAACAAACTTTCAGTCCCGTACCCAGAATGACTACAATTAGACCATAAGTGCTAAGGAAAAGTTACACGTGACACAGTTCGACATTTCCACAGCGTTCCTAAATGGAAAGTTGATAGAGAATATATTTATGCAGCAGCCGATGTGGCTTCGAAGGTCTGTCAATTAAACCGAAGCTCGTATGGTTTGAAACATAAGCACTAAGGTGCTGAATCTCCTGCTTTGAAAAGATCCTTCGTGAAATGGATTTTAAGCAGAAGAACGCTCATTGCTGCCGAGTTATGAAAAACTCACAAATGAGTTTTCATCCGATCTGAGACTGAAATTGAAAATTACTGAAAAACCGACCTCACTCTACTTAGATTTAGGGATAGAGCAAATGGGAAATTTTTTTCTATTCCTACAAATCAGAAGAAATTTGGAGCTTGGAAATATCTGCCCATTAGCAATACCTCAGAGGGTGGCAAGCGAGCAAGTATATCAAATTGAATGGTGCAACTCTAATCTCTTGTAAACCAACTAAAAGACCAAAAAATTTAGTTTCATGTTTGATTGTTTGATGACAGTCTTAAATGGTAAAAAGATGCAAATGGAATTTTAGTTAAGGCCCTTCACGTTTGATTAATTGCTATATGCATCATAGGAAAGATAAAAGGCAGAGAAATTTAATTTTTTTATTCGTATCATCGTTTGATGTATCCAGTGGCGGATTTACATATAGGCACGTGCCTAGGGGCTGCAGCTTTAGAGGGCGGCATTTTTTGCACTATAATATATATTCATTTTAGATAACATTTTAAGTTTTAAAATAAGTCCCCTAACAAGTTACAAATGACAAAAATCTTCGATTAAAATTATGAAATAAATTGGAATTGGTAGATAGTTTAAACAAACTGTAACTGTAAGAACAATAATCGACAATCCAAGTTTTGACGTGTGTAAATACTTAATCTTAGGTATACTGTATTTCTTTTCATATTAGTTTAAACAATTTCAAGTTATAATTTGATTTTTATTAGCATCCTAGAATTTATTGCAATTTAAAATTTATTTTGGGGCGGTGTGCCTAGGGGCGCAAAAAATTTAAATCCGCCACTGGATGTAACATACGAATTTGTCAGTTAAAAGCTTGAGGGGGGGGGGCGTTCGTAGATAGCCCCCTGTCTCAGAAATCCTTAATCTGCCACTGATTGCAGCCCTTCGAGAATCTGCAACAAGAAAAATTTAAGTTAAAAAACGCCAAAACATATATGTATAAGGGGGGGGAGGGTCTTTATTGAAAGAAAGAGCAAAAGGCAAAGTACTTTTTGCATTACATTTGATATTAGGTTTTAATAAAAAGATCATTATGTTGATATACTAATCCTAATGATAAGTCTATTATTAATCTTTTTTTTTCTTTACGTTACGTTTGTAAAAAAATTGTTTTAGGGAATTTTGTTAAGGGTAATGGCGTACTCACCTCGTTTGCGTGACCATGTCCATATAATCGTTCAACTGTGTCACAAGCAGGCATGAATTCGAGCTGATCCATCGCAGAGGTCGTCGGCAGTGCTGGATTAAGGAGACAATGAGGCTACAGCCCTGGAAACCCGGGGGACTCCAAGTAAAGCGAATGTTAGGTGTTACATGAAATTGGAATTTTTTACTATTTCTCGTAAATCTGAGTAGGTATTTTGAAAATTTGGAGTTTGAAAAATATCTGTAACTTCTTATTGACCATTAAAAAATGCCACAGAGTGTGGCAAGCAAGTGTGTCAAAATAATTGGATGCTAAAAACAATAATCTCAATAATAAACTAAAGGACCAAAAAGTTTAGTTTCTTTTTCAATTGTTTGATGACAGTCTTAAAAGATAAAAGATGGCACTGACATGTTTGATAAGGGGTGGGGCGGAGGGGGGCTTTCGTAGCCCGGAGGTAACCCCCTGCCTCAGAAATCCTTAATCCAGCACTGGCGGTCGGCGTAATCCTCGCCAGCAGGTTGAGCGACGTCGATGGCTCTGTAACAATTGATGAGTTTAGTAAGTAGGTAACCACACAAAGAGTGTTTTGGTTGATGAAATAATTCATTAATATATTATGACCACGCACTTACCTTCCTCTAAGCTGAACTTCGTGCAATAATAAATGAAAGTTTAATAACCATCAAAGTCGCTCAGCTTGGGAACGGAAAAAACGGCTCCAATGATTCTTTAGGCTTATTCGCAGAGAAAATCTGTTTGCTTCACAACGCTGGTGGCTCTGAACTCAGTCACACTCAGCAATATGAAGGAAACTGATGGACGCTGATGCGAAAAAGACTATCATAAGAATCATTGCAGTCAATCTTTCGTCACCAGGATGACAGACAGGGAAGACTGTTTTCAACTTTCATAGGGCTATTACACGAAACTCATGCTCAGAACAATGATCGGTCTTCCTTCTGGTTGATATTCACTATTCACTTTTCCCCCCCGTACAAAAAATGACATGCTAATACACCCATGCAGAAAAGGAAAAATCCTATACCTTATGAGGCCGCCTTTCTGCAATCTGTAACAACGAGAAGATTTACGTTAGAAATGATATTAAAATAGGTATAGTTTAAAACAATTGACAATTGTAAATTTTGACTGGGTCAAGCATTTGTTTGTTTGACCGTTTTCTTAAAGAAATTGAGCAATAAACACTTGCAATAAAAAGGGATGGACACTTACCCTTTAGCCTCAATAATTCAGTCTCTCCTGGGAAGAACCATCAACCAAAGTAGAGATGAAACACTGCACACAAACCGCGCACTACTCGTTCGCCAAAAACTGAAAAATAAAATATAATCAAATAAAATCAATCGCTTGGTTAAATTAAAATGTTTCAATAATTAATCAATTAATTGATATTTTCTGGACATGCAATATGTTTGCCTTTACTAGAAAAATCTGTGGTTTTTCAATGCCCATGAACCTAGCAGAGCAAGGTCAGCAGAACACAATCAAACATGTTGCATAATTAGATGCTAATTAAGTGCCCTATTCCCGAATTAAATGCTCCTTTTTTTTAATTATTACATGTTCTGCCAGGTTCATACGAACCCTGCTCCGACCTCAGCAGAGCACTACCTTAAAAACCCAAGAAAATGAAAAGTGGACTATCTATAATATAATTAGGTGCTAATTAAGTACCCGATCCCCTAATTAAATGCTCCTTTTTTTATAAATTATGAACCTAGCAGAACATGTATAAATTTAAAAAAATGGAGCATTTAATTCGGGGATAGGGCACGTAATTAGCACCTAATTAGCACATAATTATAGTTAGTTCACTTTTCATTTTCTTGGGTTTTTAAGGTTGTGCTCTGTTCATATGTGTTTGGTATTGCAACCATACCATGTTGCAATCATGTGTAATCGCCTACCATAAGTTAATGTAAGAGAAGTGACAGGTGTAAAAGATATACCATGAATAAAGTTGATGAAAGAAGGTCTAATTATTATAAGTTTACCAATTACAAAACATATTACCGAATTAAATGCTTCTTTTTTTAAAATTATGACATGTACTGCCAGGTTCATATGAACTCAGCAGAGCATTAACTCGGAAAACCAAGAAAATGAAAAGTGAACTAACTATAATTAGGTGCTGATTAGTGATTAGGTGCTAATTAAGTGGCCTGTTTTCAAATAATGTGCTCTTTAGCATTGAGCATTTAATTCGGGTATAGGGCACTTAATTAGCACCTAATTATGCAATATATGTTTGTGTTCCGCATTTCTCAATATCGAAATGAATCCAGGGGCGTAGAAAGACCATGACACAAAAATTAGATTCAACAGATACGCCTATGTAAAATTGCAATTAACGTCTATCATACAATTCATTACTTATACTATAACTCTCATGAGTTTATTTTGGAAAAATCACCTGTTCTGTTAATGATTGATGCAGTGATAAGGAAATGAGGAGAGATTGTGGAAGAAGTGTCGCAATTAAAGAAAAAATTGGAATGCGAATCTTGGTAATCCCGTCCCGTCTCATTCTTGAAATGTTTATGACGAGAATGTCTTTTTACTTCGTTTGCTTATGACTCGACCAACCATCATTCGTAAATGTGGCAGGTGTCGGTGAAGAGATGTGAACAAGGATATTTACAGTAGAGATTGGTTCCCGTTACCTGAGGGCAAGCCAAATGGAAGTGGTAAAATTGATGATTCGTTTTAATTTGAAATTGACGATTTGAAATTGGATTGTGTAGGTAGTGCTGCCGTGGGTAAAGGTTCCTTCAAACTAGACGTAGTGGAACTGTTCGTAAAGCTAAAAAACGTAGGTCTAGCTCACAGAAAGAAGTTTTAACGAAATAACACAGAACTATAACAGTCCTTGACCGCGAGTACCAGGATTTCAATGAAATTGTCACAATCGTAGCACGAATGTTCTACAAGTCTGCGATCATTTCGCTGTATTAAACGTCAACTTGAACGCACGTGACATAACCTAATTCATCGGATTAAAGTGAAGGGTAGCAAAATGACGGAGCCCGATCGTCCCTGACAAATGAATCGGAAACTAAATATACCGAAGCAGGTTGTTTTATAATAAATCGTCGATACTAAGGCATGTCATATCTTAAGGCTAGCGCAAGCAGTGCTTACGTTCAGCAGACGAAGCGCTTCATGAGTGCTACCCGAAAGACGGAAATACCTACTCTAGCAAGGTTTCTCGTGTGATAACACTGTCGAGGTGCAAATACCACCGTACGTCGACTCACAGTGGTGTTAGAGTATTCCCGTCTTTAGGTAGCGCCTCAAATCGCTTAGTCTGGCGAATGTAAGCTTTATCGTAACCGTTACCACGAAACTTTTAAAGGTCTAAAAACTTACCTCAAATCAACATATCCATGAAATCTTAGGCGTCTTGATTTCAAAAGCGAAAAAGATTCACAAAACGTTAAGTTTTAAACGAAAAAAAGTAAATTTAAAATAGGACGCCATCTTCTTGTTCTTAGGATAAAATTTGGCACGACACCCAAAAGACCAATTTGCGAACACTTCCCCGTCGGTTTTTGTTAGTTTAACGGTTGAATTTAACAACAAAATCAAAATTTACTGGTAGCGTCCCTAGATCCTACACGCAAACGCCGGTTTAAATTCGAAGAAAAAGGAGTAGGGAGGCCATAATTTTTCGTAGATTAAGATTTCGTTTTAAACACCGATTTACGTGTGATGGACCGAAACGAATTATGCGCCGCAATTGTCACCGTCTTTTATTTGACTTTTTTAAAGTTTATTTTAATATAGCACTTCGCAAATTAGTAGAAAACGGTAAAAATACAGCACGCTTGGAACGGCAGTAACGACATCTTGGTCACGTGACGAAGATAGTGATCGTGACGTCACAACTGCAAGACCCGCTACGATTCGTCCATTTGAAAAAATCGTACAACCAAAATTGCATTCTGCTTTTTGTTTACTAATTTGTGCTTCCCAGAAATTGTTGCTATTCTCAATATGCGCAAAAATGGCGAAAATAACTTCTCAGCTTCCCATTTATCGGTATACGTCCATGATACGTGGGCGACGTTTAACCCAAAACGTAAACAAAACACTGTCATGGAACCAAAATACGACCCAAACAAACAAAAGTCGCCCTAATTCGTGAAATTTGGAACTTTCCCCTATTCTTTAAAGGGTGGATAAGTTGTCCAACTTCAGATACTTGGTCGGTCCCACTAAATATTTTGGGAAAGAGGGAAGAACAGGGAGGTCTGAGAGTATGTTTTTATGTAAGCACGGAGGGAATTGAACACCCCCCAGAGACCCCTGTTTCGTGTTATCTCTTACAAACGTTCGATACGCCCGGTAATTAAAAAATGGTCAGCCCTAAGTACTTTCGATGGTCCTTTCCTAATGGTATATGTGCTAAAAGCACCAAACATTTTGGGAGAGAATGTAAAAGCTTGGGAGATATGGAATCCCCCCCCCTCCCCCGGAAAAGAAAGATTCAGTATTCCTTTTCCTACATCTATCATAAGATTCTATACCCCCTAGATTCTCGGGTGTTACATCCTCTATCCTCTCTAAAAACGTTCACCCCTAAGGAATACCCAGCAATGGAAGACTATGACAACAATCATCTGCTGGGGGTTATTTCACACTCCCCCCCAAAATGACAATTAGTAGTTATAATTATTTATTTATTTATTTATTTATTTAACGGAAATACCATTTTTACAAAGAAATACAAAACATAATATCTATAGCAAAATGTAATAACAAGACGAAGTGTGACTATAAATCAAAATTACTGATAAACTTAAAGGCCGTATTAGACGATGCCATTTTTATTGCAATCCTTGCAGCAACTATTGCTGCTATTATTGCAGCAATTATTGCAAAAAGATGCAATGATTACACTATGCAATTTATTTGGCAATTTTTTTATACCCAATTCTAATCATGTATTGGTGCCAATGAAAGTGGAATTGGCATCACTGGGAAATACTTGAAAGCAACTTCAAGTCTGTTGTAGACCAGGAAACGTGTGTTTTGTGACGTTTCCTTTGTTGAAGGCCGTGCAATTTATTATTTATATTTGCACGCACTTATTCACACTCATGGCCGTTTGCACCGACAAATTTAAGTGGAGCTTAGCTGAAGCGTAGCTTAAAATCCATGGACAACGATTATTGAGACAATTGTTGCCATGGATTTTAAGCTACGCTTAAGCTAAGCTCGGCTTAAATATGTCGGTGCAAACGGCCATCAGGTTCGTTAAATTCATTGAGTAGGTTTAAGTTTCCCTTTGTGAAATCGTTATTGGCAAGCCACTGCCTGGTCCAAAAATGTCGTCGTCTTCTTTGTTTATTTTTTTTTAAAAGAGCAACACTAACAAACAAACAAACAAAGAGCAATAACTAAAGATGCGGCAGCAATATCCATTTTTGAATTCCTCGTAAATAGGTTATTTCAGTTTTAACTTTAAATAACAAACCTGTATATAGCATAAGGAGGTAATGTTCTCCAGTGCATACCACTTTATTTTTTTTATAAATTAAATGTTACTAAAATAGTTACTAAATTGCAAGAAAAATTGCAAGAAAAATAGCACAAGTTCTATAACCAGAAAATTGCAGAATGTCTTGCTGCAATATTTGGCGCAAGAAATTGCACGTGCAATTTTAACATACACGGAGCAATTTTTCGTGCAATTTCTTGCGGCAATGAATTGCTGCAAAAATTGCAATAAAAATTGCATCGTCTAATACGGCCTTAACAAAAAATATTTCAAATAAAAATTAAATAAATAAATAAATAATTATCTTGTAGAGAGTTCATCCAATTTTGGTTACTGGGAGATCTTCCATACACAAGAGTTCTAAGGACTGAATATTTTGGGGGAGAATGTACGTAGTACCGGAGGGTCTAGGGGGTTATACCCCCCAGCAAAGGGATTTTAAGACAACTGTCATGGTAGTTTTCGAGTTTTTGGTCTTTATGTTATGCATAAGAACTTTTCTTGAACTAAACGTTAGTTTTGAAAGTTTGCCTAGTAGTTGGGTGAGATGGAGGTTCGACAGTTCTTTGGAGTAAATACCAGAGTCTGTTCCTTCCATTGTTTTAGATCCATCCGTGAACATGGATATGTCTGGTTGGGATACCCTATTCTCATTAAGAAAGATGTTAGTTTTTCCGTAATATGAATTGAGAAATGAGTAAGTCCGATTGCCCTTCGAGGATAGGCTCCATAACAGAGCATTGGTCTTATCACGGCAGTGTATCCCTTATGTATCTATCGAATAGTCAGCGATATCTAGCTTTACGTGTAGAGTAATTACCTTTGCCAGGTTTGGAGATAAAGACAATTTTTCCACCATCTGACTGTAAACCGCTCAGTCATTCTCCATGGAAATGAAGGAAGTTACCTCTGGCCAGTTGGGGTATAGATCTGTGGTGGCTCCAGGAAAGTGGGCGTCTCTCAGTACCTCGGCTGTCTCTGAGAGGTTATTCCTGTAGGAACCATCCTCTCGTCTGTGGGTAGCTGGGTTGCAATATGGACCTTTCGTTCGAATTCTTCTCTCGCATTGATTCCTTCTGTGTGCCGGGGGATATTCCAGACCTCCCGGTGCGACGCCCTCCCTAAAAATGACAATTAGTATGGTTATAATATAATTATTTTATAGGGACTATCAACAAATTTTCGTTTCTGGGGGATTTTCCATACACAAAGGGTTCTAAGGGATGACCATTTTGGGGGAGAATGTACCACAGGAGGGTATATGTGCGGGGTGTGGAACGCCCTTCAGCAAAGGGAGATTTGATGACAATTGTCATAGTAGTTTTCAAGAGAAGAGGGGGGGGGGGGGCTTATGATATATTTCCGGAGATGCTGAAAGTAAAACATGAATTACTTTTACATGTGACAATCAATTAGTCTCAGATTTTGCATGTGCATATCTTTTGTGGTGCCAAATGTGGGGGGGGGGGGGGAACATAAGTGCTACTCTTCATGGTTTCTAATAAAAGGACTCAACGAAACGAATTAATTTCTACCAACCACAGTCCTTATCTCCCCTTATCTGGGTCGGATATAAATAATTTCTTATATCTCAAGATTAGATTGTCGGAAGAGGCATTCGGACGTCTGGATGAATTATATCCATTGGTGAAGAAGAGCGCGAGAACGGTTTGTCGGTGCTCTCAAAGGCAAAATGAATCGTCTGGACGAAACTTGGTGAAGTCGAGGCGAATAAATGAAGTGTCGGAAGAGGGTACTCATAAAGGGCAAATGGAACATCAGAACGAAAACAAAGCTTGTTAAGATATTTCCAAATTCGTCTAGACGAGAGACATCTACAGGCGATGTAGAAACTTAATTGGTTGGAAGTTCGAAGAATTCTAGAATTTCTACATGTTTATAAATTATTTACAGTGGCGTACGTCCAAAGAACTAAGAGGGTTACTTTTTTTTAATGGAAAGCATTATGAAAAATGAACGAAAAAATATTACAAATTGCAAAATTAATTAACAGAACTATTTTCCTTAATTTGAGTTTTTCTCTTAAATTTTATTAATTCAAAAAAAGTGTACTATTTAAGAATATATAATGAAAACTATAGCAGTTGCCATTACAACAAAATATGCCTCCTTGGCAATGCAGTAGTACACCATCACTGATCACAAATTTATAAAGCGCTTATAGATTCGTAGCAAACTTCTTACAATGTTGAATACCATAAAAAGCTTTAAAAAAATGTTGTTTTGAAGATACATTAGTGTTCCAGACAAAATTTTCACAGTGTATATTTTTGCACTATGCTATGGTGTTCGGAGATCGTGCCCCCAAGACCAAAAACCCTGGGTTTAACATTTAACAACCCAGGGCAATGTCCTGCCTAACGCCTATGGTTTATCCGGCGTTGCTAGAATCAGACTCCATACTTGCAAACTCCTCCCAGTTTGAAATCGGCCCGGGCGAGTTGCTGATGCTAGAACCAGCACTGACCGCAGGTTGCCTTAGCAGTAGTTCCTGTAGCAGCTGCTGGTGCTGTTGTGGTGGTTGTACTGCCCACTTCGGAAGGTTTTTTTTGGGTGGGGGCGTGGAAGCACCTCCGCCTTCCTCCTTGGCTTGAGAAGTTGAGGTGATGGAACTGGGTTTTTTGAGGCTATTGCCCTCCCATATGAGAACAGAACTCCCCTACCCCTTTCCCTGCTCTTCTAGCTTTGAGCTTCCATACCCTCCTGAGTGTACTGTTTGATTTTTCGGCTTCGTTTGGATTATACCCAGCGGCCATTAGTTTTTTGAAGAGCTTACGAGCGGCTCCACAAAGATTTACTTGTGGAGTGGCCCCCCACAGCATTATTTAGTTCACTTGTCGCTCCTGAGGTTTTGTTAGCCGAGAATTAGGAGCCCTCAGGAGAGTTATGGTAACACTATCTAGGCTAGTGATTTCGACAGATGTCGGACAACCCTTGGTCAGTGGTTGGAGGTAGCGACTCCTCCGTTACCGTTACAGATTGAGCGGTTTTTGTATTAAGTCCTATACGACGCTCCCACGAGGATTGGGCTTTTAAACGGTCCCTGGCAGCTTGCCCTTACCATCAGAAGGCTACTTTTGCAACTGGGAGCCGCCCTATAACCAGAGTTCGCTGATCAAGTTCTCCCTTGGTCATGCAGCCCTCTCGGCGTCAGCTGTTCCACCCCGACTTGGATTTGGTTTGCGTTACTGTCATTCGACAGAGTTCCGTTAGGAGCGTTGAGATCGTTACCAGGGGGCACCACTAGTAGTCCCGGGAATAGAGGGTTTTAACTTGCAAAATGAGAAGTAGTTCCGATTTCTTTTGCATGTCATCG